ACCATCCTTTATATGGAGCCTACCAGGGTGCAGAGGCTAAGTCTTCTGTCCTAAAGGAAGTGGGAAGGACTGGGTATCGTTATGCAAGTAATGTAACTTGGTAATGTAATTTGGTAATATAGTTTGGGAATGTAATTTCATTCAAGGTAAAGTTGGAGCTGAGGGTAAGGCCAAGGGAAATAGTAGAGACTAGTCAGGGGTCTGTTGTTCCCCATATTCTGGTTTACAGATAAACTGTTTCATTTGGCTTCCACAGTATTTGAAAATCTATAGTTCCCTCTAGCTCCTGCCATTCCCTGGTTCCCTGTTAGATTTGGGCCACTTCAGTTATACACGCCTGGCCAGCCTCTGTAGACATTTGAGGTTGCTATTCTTGCTCTAGGAAATAGGGGTCTACTCTTAAAAGGATTTAGGCAGAAGAGCGACATGAGTAGATTTGCGTTGTAGAAACATAGCTTGATGCTGTGTTAGATGGATTGGCGGGGGAAGAGAACCTGGGGATCAGTCAAGAGATGCTGCAGTAAACCAAGCCTGTCCGCCCACCGTATGGTAGGGAAGCACTGGGTATGAGGAGCTGTTTGAGAGGTAAAGTAAGCTAGGTAATATTAAATATAGGGGTTGAGGGAATGGGATGAGGATATGATAAGGTAGCTCTCTGACTTAGTTACTGGTGGATGGATAAAAAGTGAATATTTGAGGAAGCAAATAGGTTGGTGAGGAGAAGTGAATTTGGCTTTGGTATTCATGCAATATCCAAAAGATTACAGGTAGTTGTTTGTATTAGTCTGGAGGTTAGGAGAGCTGTCTAGGCTGGAAAGAGTTAAGAATTGACAGCTCTAAAATCCAGTGGTACTATTGTGTAGAACCTCTTGGTTACAAAATGGAGGAAAGGGAAAAGCAGGAGAAGGTTGGGAAAGTTAACCCAAGGAGACTGCCAGACAGATTGCTTTCTATTTCCTATGTTGTAGCTGCCTATATGGAAAAATGCCTTTTCCCGCACTGAATGTTTTTAGGTCATTTTGTTAACAAGCCTCCACTCAAAACACATTCATGGGGAGAATCACCTCATTTGCAGTAAGCATAAACTTATACGATCTGCTGAGATTAGTCACAGAGGTTATTGTACCAACTCATAATTTTATAATGTTGAAAAAAAAAGAAAATAGATAATTTTGGGTTTGTGGGGGATATAGGAAGTCTGAGCAAAGTAGAGCAGCAGGAAGGTTCTCGTAACTTAAGATACGGGAGGATTGAGGGTATAGAGAGAAAGACACTGGGAGTGATCAGGAAGATGTCAGGGACAAACTTTTACCTGCTTGGAAGTTTACTGAAGCCAGTTTTTAAGTGTGATCTGCATCTGAACCACCAGGGGAACTGAAATGCAGATCCCCAGACCTAGTTGCATGAAATCTCCAATTGTTTTACACACTAGAACTTCAGAACCACTGTAAATCCTGCCTCTAGCCTAGGACTTCCCTCTACTCCCACATACTTTCTCTTCTTCCTTTTTACTTTATGTAGCTTTTTATTACCAGGTCTTAAATTTATATCATTAGCAACATTGTTTAGTTACTTGTAAATTAAATGGGTTTGGTTTTTTTTAATGGTTTAATCACTGTCTATAAAATAAAAGGTTTTAAGTGTCAAACAAATCATTGACTTCTTTAATAAGTTGGAATCAGGCCTATATAGATAATTCAGACTTTCTGGCTACTGCATCCTGACTTAACATTTGAAATTGTTCCAAATGGATTCTATTGCAATGTAGAATGATGAGTAGTTTCATAAACTGAAGTTGTTTTAAAAGAATTGTATAAAAAATAATTCAAGGTATTTTTTCTCAGTTTGTCCATTTATTTTGGTGTGCTATAAATTTGAAACATTTTAAGAGAAAAGTGGTATTTTGTAAGAAGAAATTTTGCTTGAAGTGTTATTACTGTACTGTATTTGAAGTTGGAATTTCTAGAATTTTGGTATTAAGAATACTGAGTGATCTATTTATCCTTTGAGGTTTGTTGATAAGTGAACTTTTCTAAAGATTAATTAAAGTTGAATTACTCTTATAGATAACCTTTTTCAACCAAGGTTCTCCATCTGGACCACAAAACACAGAAAATTATTTGAGTAACTATTTTCTCAATTCTCCTAAGTTTGGTATATAACTCACACCATTCTAGATGCATAGGAGAGAAGTTAATTTTTTATGTTCAATGAATACCCTAAGGCAGGGATCTTCAAAGCCTGGCGAAGGATAGTTTTTATAGTTTTAAATGGTTAAAAAAAAAAATCAAGACATATTTCTTGACATGGGAAAATTGTGTGAAATTCATGTTTTACTGTCCATAAAGATTTTTTGGAACACGATCATGCCTATTCCTTTATGTATTGTGTATGGCTGCTTTCCCTCTACAGCTGCAGAGTTTGGGTAATTGAGACAGAGATTTTATGGCCCCCAAGGCTGAAACTATTTACTATCTGGCCCCTCCCAGAAAACGTTTGCTGACCCCTGCCATGGGGCCTTAGGACTTAAGTCTCTCACAGAACTGGTTGAAAAAGGCTTCAACTCTAGGGAGAATTATACTGTTTGAATTTTGTAATGGTTTATTCAGAAAATTTGTTTAATTTCCAACAGTACCAATGCTTGCCTTTCAGATTATGCCTTCCCGTATATTATATTAGTGTTATCTTTGGTTACTCTGGCTGTGTACATGTCGGCTTCTGAAATAGAGGTAGGAAGTCTTTTTTTTCCTTTGTTAAAGATTTTTTTGAGAAATTTGACAATTGACTAGAATGGTACATATGATACAAACAATATGGTACAACTGATTGTTTTAGTAATCCTTAGCTAATTGACGTCACTTGGTAGCTTTTAGCTGATTAGTTAAATTTATGAAAAGTTGCATGCTAGACTATATATTTCCTTGGGATATTAGCAAAATAGTTAAGTCGTCAGGCTCAACTATTCAGTGTGGTGGAGAAAAATCATTTCACATAATTTATCCACATAGCAAACATACACATATTGAAATGTTGAAACCTATTAACATTATTTAGAGAGAAACATAAAAATGCTTTACTATATATAGAACTAATTTTAAACTATTTTACAATGGCAACACTACCAGAGTCATCAATAATTATCTCTTGTATTCTATGTCCTTCTATTTTTTTTACCCCAATTTTATTTTCTTGATTATGGGTGTTTATATATACCCCATAGTATCTATAATATTTCGGTGATTTGGAGATAATATTAATAGCCATCTGATTCTGATACTGTTCCTTTTTTGAGGTATCCATTTTGTGCCTCTAACTTTTTAGTGTTTCAGTGGAAGGCCACTGTTATACAGGATTATTTTTTGTTTGCTTGTTTTATTTTATGTCTTTATTTTCAGAATACTTTTAGTCAAAAAAAAGTATATTTTGATTCATTTATAGGTCAATGGGTACATTAGAACATCATGTCATCACATTTATATTTTTAAATATTTTTAAGGAGCTATTAGTAAAAATTTGAATAATAAATGAAAAGTAATAGTATATTTGACTATATATCTAACTAGGGAAACATATATTCATTAAAATTTAATCAAAATAGGTATTTTTGCACATGATTTTGTTCACATGCAATCTTCTGAAATTTTATTTCTAAAATAATCATGTGGCTGTCTACTATTTATTTTAATGTATCACATTTAAATGCTTTTAAATACATTAATGTCTCTGATTTAAGAACTCTTTATTTTGAGGCTAAACTCTGAAGGGACAAAAGTATAAGGTGTCTCAGTACTCTTCCATCTTATGCTCGCTAAACTAGTGCCTATGAACTGTCTTGAACTGCCCGCTATAGTTGATAAGATACGTGCTTTCTCATAATTCTTAACATAAAAAAGCTCAACTCAAAGAAAATAAATTGTAAACTATTTTGGAGACTGTTGACACCACTTTTTCTGTTACAAGAGTGCAAGAGTGAAGGGGGAAAACACCTAGACTATAGGCAGAATAATAGTGGGAGAACTAGACAATGTTTTTATGGTGATTATTCAGTTCTGTCCATCTCTAGACTGTCCTCATTTTTCCTTTGTAATCTTTAATCAGCATTGCAATATGATTAATTAAAGAAGATAGGCAAATTAGTTTTGGTACTTTTATCAACTCTAGGGAAGGATTTGAGGGAGGAAACAGTTGGATATTTGAATAAAATGAGGTTTTTGAATTTTTGTTTGTTATCCATAGTTAGAAATGAGCTAAACACTGCCAAATTGGCTTGAAACTTATTTGTTTCTCTGCCCGTGTGAATCTCTCCTCTATAAAATGTTCACATACTTCAATTAGTACTCTACATATGAATCAGAAACAGGAAACAGGAGAAGACAGCCTAGTTCTGGGTGAGCTGATGAGCCATTTAATGATAAGAGAACGTTAGTAACTTATTGCACATTACATTTTTGTGTGTTTATTAACACATTTAGATTTTACTTTTATATTAATTTGGTCTTTCCAATTTTTGCGTATTATATAGCTGTATTAAAGATTAAAAGAAAATCAGAGTATGTGTCATTTCTGCTCTCTGCTAATTATTCAGGTACAGCTTCCAGGAATGCTAGAGGTTAAGGAAATTGGGTTTATGTATACCTCCTGTTTCATACCTATGAGCCCATAGCTACAGTGGGCAGGAAGAAAGCATGTAATATAATGAAGAGTTTCCCATCTAGTTTATATCTTTCAGAAGAAACTAGTGCTTCTAGGAGTGAACGGTGGTGTAGGCTAGGACTTAATACATGGGCTCTTGTCGTGCTGCTGCTGCTGCTGTGTGCTTACATGACGTAGGAAGCCTCAGTTTCCTCATCTGTAAAGTGTGGTAGCTACGCTGGGTGATTTCTTAAGTCCTTTCTAGTTCAGACATTCTATGATTTTGCAGTATGATTATGTGTGAAAACAAATAATACATTTTAAATTAAAATATATCGCATGATCTAGCTGATTTATCCTGATAATCTTTCTCTTTTCTTTTTTTTATAAAATTATGTAGAACTGCTATGATCTTCTGGTCAGAAAGAAAAGGCTTATTGTTCTCTTCAGCCACTGGTTACTTCATGCCTATGGAATAATCTCCATTTCCAGAGTGGATAAACTTGAGCAAGATTTGCCCCTTTTGGCTTTGGTACCTACACCAGCCCTTTTTTACTTGTTCACTGCAAAATTTACCGAACCTTCTCGGATACTCTCAGAAGGAGCCAATGGACACTGAATGAAAAAATTTTAAATGCCAAAAAACCTAAGAAGTGTTCTTAGTTAAAAAGTAAAGAAATTTGAAAAACTTATTAATACTATTCTGTCATACATGGGAACAAAATTGTCATTGTATCTTCTGTTTGAGTTTTGTTTTGTTTTTTTGACTTAAATAGACTTTATGGTTAGGCCTGTAGACTTGGAAAGTACAAAATACCATAATACCGTTACTTAGTATAACATTATCTGTTTCACTAGAAGCCTGTTAGGAAGCACTTGCCTTTCTCACAGCTCAGTTATTCTCTAGAGCAAAATCATGTTTCTGTGTACCTAGCAATGTGTTGTTCCCATTTTATTAAGAAAAACTTCAACAAATATAACCTGAAATCCTTAGCAGTGGCAGAATTGTGCATGCCTGTTATATTTCAATCTGTTTTCCACCTGTAATGAATTATAAAGACAAACATACTTGTGGGTCTTTTAGCAAACATGGAAATAAAGTGTATTGTTTTTTTGTTATCTATTTATTTTCACCAATACAGTATTTTGATATATTACAAAAATAAAGCATAATTTATTATAGCCGATTTTCTGTTTATAGATAGTTTGGTTGAAGACTTTGTTCAGATTATTGCTCCTGTAGAAAAACAATAATAAAAAGTTTAACTACAAAAAATTTCAATGTTTTGACCTTTAATTATTTTTTGGCACAATAATTATGGAAGTAATTCAAAATGTTAAGTAGTAAGATTAGTATCTATTTCCCAAGTGAATAAATACATGTACTTGTATATTTTCTACCTCTTATAATCTCATTTTTGAAGGATATACATACATGCCCTACTTTATTGATCCAGAGACACATTTTTTTTCCACATTGTGACATCTCTGAATTGGGATGCATCTTACAGTTGATAGCTTCTTAGATTTAATGAAATACAGAATATATATATAGTATATAGACAGTTTTCTTGCAGTTGGTTTGTGATAAATGTGCTGTGATGTTTACGCTCTCTGAGGGCTTCACAAGACTCATCCTCACAACCATGGAAGCAAACTAAATTTTTCAGTACTTAACCCAATAACCTGACCATGTTTATGCATTTATATTGTTTAGAAGGTTACCTACTGATTCTGCTACTTGAGGTTTGACAAACTAGTTAAATCTCAGACATTTAAGATTTCTATTAGAATAGCAAAGTATGAAAGTAAGTGCACTCACTTTTCCTGTAGTTTTGTTTATGCCTTTGAATTCACAGCAGTTGTATCCTTGAGTTATTTTGTTACTTATTCTTTGTTAATCTGGTTTTCCCAGTACACTTAACTGCTAGGAAAGGGACTGTTTTAGTACGAATGTGTTTCTTCTTTTCTGTAGAAATAAAATTAAAATGTAAAAATTCTATTGTATTTCATATAGGTTTGGGTGGTTATTAGTGTCCATTAAAATTATGAGTTGCCCAAAGAATCCTCAATTGGATAATTGTGTAATGGAGGTGGGGTGGGAGAGGAGGGAATGGGGAAGGTGTCATGTGTTGATTACCAGGATTATATCTTCTGGCCCCACTACATTTGCAACCACTTTAACAATTATCTCAGATATCCTATTCTAGAAAAAAAAAAAAAATTAATATATGAAAAAGGAGAAATTATGCAAGACATGATTACAAGTACTGAAAGGCAGAGAATTTCAGGAATACTTAATACTATCTGCATTTTTAATTTGCTTTCATAAGAACAAGACTAGAAAAATTCACAACCACTATGTTTGCTAATGTTACTAAGTAATTTGTTAAAACATGGTCATTAAAAATATACAAAAACAACATTTGTCTTAGCTTTGTTAAGTTTTGGCTGACGTCCTTGTAGCACATTACAATTTTAACTGCTACAGTATATGCCAATTATTTTGCCAGCCAGTCCTGAATATGTAATTTAAAAGTCAAAATACAGATTGAGTATCCCATATCCAAAAATGCATGGGACCAGAAGTGTTTCAGATTTCAGAGTTTTTCAGATTTTTAAATAGTTGCACTATATTTACCAGTCAATATCCCTAATCTGAAAATCTGAAATCTGAAATGCTCCAGGGAGCATTTTTTAGGGGCATCATATTGGTGCTCCAAAAATTTCAGTTTTTGGAGCTTCTTGGATTTCCGATTTTTTGGATCAGGTATACTCAACCTGTATTTTCTTGATTAATTCGTGACAACCGATAAATTTGACAACTACATTGTTATATATTTGTTTAAAATTATTGGTTTTCAAGATTTCATTGCACATTGGAACCACCCAGAGAGATTATTTTTAAAACATGCCTAGGTCTAACCCCCAGAGATTCACGTTGAATTATTCTGTGGTGCAGCCTGAGCACAGGATTTGTTTTTAAACCTCCAGGTGATTCTAATGTTTGGGAACCACTAATCTAAACTCTCTTCCTAGTTCATATCTTAATTTTTCCAAGAGGCCTTTTGACAACTGCTGGACAAATGATTTTACTATCTCTCACTGAAATTTTGCACTTTAATTATAAGTAGGTTCTGTGAATTAAATGATCAAAATGTAGATAATTGTATCAAGTCCTTTTTCATCACAATAACAAAAAGATAACTTTGACAGTTTTATGAATTGATTTTTTTTTAATGTTTCTTTTAAAGTATCTCCTGGCCTAAAAAAGTCTTCTGTAAAGCACGTATCAAGTTAAGACATTTGGTTAATACACAAATTACTTATCTGTAACCTAAGTTACAGTATATGATATAATACTCAAAGACTTTGGAATTTTAAAACAAAATTCTTTTTAATACTTTAAGAACAACTGCCCTAAGTTACACTTTGGTTTAGGTATACACTAGAATTAACTTATTTACCTTTTGTTTACAAGAAAAATTAAGGCAAAAAGTCACAATCTTAGCTTTCAGGATGAGGCTGGCATTTACCATTCGGACAAGCCTCTCCTACACCCTTGCCTGTTGGTTCCCCAAGCGGATCTCCACGCAGCCTTGCTATGTGCAGTTCTCGGCCTGCTCACGCCTGTGCTGCTCCTTGCGGAAGACATCCCTGTGTACTCCGACATCCACTAAGACTTAGAGCTTTACCTTCCCGTAGCCCCTTGCTAGAAGGAATCCACTGTATTCTAATCTCTTCATTTGTCTGTTTCTCACAGGGTATGGGCTTTAAGGCCAGGGACCGGGTTTTGTTAAACTTTGTCACAGCGACATCTGCTCCAGAGCAAGGCTTAAAGACGCCCAATATATTAACGAAGCTAGTGCAGTGATCCTGAAGGAGACCACAGGACCGGCAGGGCTGCAGTGATGTATTGTGGCCAGAAGAGGACAGGAGAGGGCTGCCGAGCCGGAAGAGATGCAGGGCTCCTCCAGAAGTCGTGTGGCAGAAGCAATTCAACAGGGAACATTCAAAAGCTAGGAGATAGATTACAGGTGACTCAGAGATGGCCAAGGAATTCAAGAGGCCAAACTTTACTATTACCTCCCCAGGAGGGTGGTACATTTCAGGGATCTGAAGAGTGCCTAATATGGGTCTGCTATTTTATAACTGCTGTTACCAGTGATATTTTACAACTGGGGAAACTGAGGAATGGAGGTTAAATAACATATAAGAAGCAGAGCTGGGATTTGAGCCCAGATCTACCTCGCTCCAAAGCCCACATGGTGTCAGTGCTCCAGGAGCAGAAATAAGTAGAGCTATGGGCAGCCAGAAATCTTCCTTCAGGTCTCAGCTCAGTTCAGAGATCTCTCCCTTGACTCCTTAACCAGGTTAAGTCTCCCTTTTAGGTTCTCTCATACTTCTATGCCCCACCTTCAGTACACTTGGGACTTTATATAGATGTGTATGGTATCAGATCCTCCTACTATACCAAGAATGAACAAGTTATAGCCTAAGGGGCAATTCTTCTACAATGGCTGAGTTGAATAGTTGCTACAGAGACCTTATGGCTGGCAAAGCCAAAAGTATTTATTATTTGGCCTTTTACAGGAAAAGTCTGCCAACCCCTGTACTAGACTGAGTTCCACTTGGGCAGGGACTACATCTGTTTCATCCACCATTGCAACCCAAGTGTCTAACATGGTGGTTGGCACAGAACAGGCACTCAGTAAATACTTGTTGAATACAGTTTAGTGTTAACAATGAAAATGGGATGGAGCCCAAAAAACTGGAGAAATTTCAGGTATCAGTATGCCCAATTATCAACATTTCAGTGGTTGCAAATAGTACTGATTTTTAAACTGAAATGCTTCTAGTCAATAATCTATTGACTGAAAATGATTTTTGGTAAGAATATAAATTTCTTCCTAAATTAAATGACATTCTTTTAATTTTCAATGAAAATCTTATTTTTCCCACATTGTTCATTGTGTAACAGTCCATTCTTCATTATGTGGCCTAGAACAAAGAAGTCAGCCTTTATTTGCTTTTGTGTCTCAGACTACGTGATCCTGGCTTTGCCATGTTGCCAGCAAGGCTCAGCCACTCTATGAGTGACCAAAGGACATAATGTCAGTGTCCACACTATAGTTCAGGGGTTGGCAAACTTTTTCTGTAAAGGGCCAGATAAATATTTCAGGCTTGGCAAGTCATGCAGTCTCTGTCACAGATACTCTCACTGTGGCACAAAAGCAGTTATATGCAATGTGTAAATAAATGAGCACAGCTATGTTTCAGCAAAACTTTATGGACATGGAAATTGAATTTCATATAATTTTATGGTATCATGAAATATTATTCTTTTGATTTTTATCCAACAACTTAAAAACATGAAAACCATCTTTAGCTCTGGGACCTACAAAAACAGGAGGGAGGCTGGTTTGGTACCAGGCCATAGTATGCTGACCCCCACCATAGACAATAGACTGGGCTGGGAATCTTTACAACATTCTTAACAACTGGGGAAATGGGAAGCAACTGAGAATATGGGGAGGAGTTCAAAACTAAAGTGCTCCAAGCTTCAATTTTGCTACAGTTCTCATTGGTCTGCAAACTTTCCTTAAAGTGTGATTTGGTTATGCTAATGACAGCTTGAACAGAAATTCTGATCATGGGAGATCTAGGGCAGTGGTCTCCAAACTCCTTTGACTCTCCACCTATATCACGTACCCCAATTCATACATTATAGATAGATAGGTATATAATATCAAATGTAGACAAAAATAGGAATTTAAAAGGTGACAAAAATTGAATATAAACAGATTTTTTTAATATGTGTTTCCCTTGTGTGGATTGACCATCATACCCCACTTTGGAGATCATCGGTTGCTCAAGAATCTAGAATCTCTGATTGAGAGTCTATCTCATAGCCAATTCTTGCTGTAGCAGCCTTCAACTACAGTTGGAGAAGTAGGAGAGTTCTCTGAAGGGGTCAGAGCTACTGCCCTGTGGGCTCTCTGAGAGAATTGAACTCTAGAGCTGGATTCTAGATCCAGCCACTCTGTTACTTAAAAGGGGAAGAGGACAACTTGCTGGACTGTCCAGATGGGAAAGTCTAGAAAGTAAACATTCGTTCATTCTCTCACTTTACTGGTATTTATTGAGTACCTATTATTGAGCATTCAATATGCTATTATGTGTGAGGCACCGTGCTATACACTGGAAATACATGGTGCACAATCCAAATGTTCCCTTCTTTCATGGAGCTTACAGACAGAACCGAGTAAATAGAAGTGAAGTAACTATTAGTTGTAACAAATACTCATAAAGAAAGAAATACTGTCCTATGATATAAAATAATGGAGGAGGGCATAATTTACATTGGAGATTCTTATAAGGCGTCTCTGAAGAGGTGACATTTTCAGTCTCGATCTGAAGAACCATGTGAAGCCAACACTGTGACCAGCAGAGGGAAGAGTGTTCTAGGCAGAGGCTCATAGCAGTGGGAGCATATAATGCAGGAGGCTTAGCTTAAAGCATAATTATTGCTGATGGTAAATATTTTCAGTTGAAGACTGAATTAGTAACTTTAGTTTCTGGATAAAATGAGTAGACTAGATAATCTGAAAATCCTCCTTGTAGTATAAATCACCTAGAAGTGTGGGAGGAGAGATAACAAATTTCCTTTTCAATGCAGGGCTGAACTTGTAAGCAAGCAAGGAAACCACGAGGCCCAAAGAGGGAGTGAAAGCCGGAGGAGTGAGAGTGAGCTCCCTCTTGGTCTGCCACTGGGGACAGGGGAGCAGGGAGGGCGTGTGTGTCCACAACCAGGAGGAGGGGTCAAGAGGGAAAGCCTTGAGCTTGGATATGGAATTGGAGAGCAATATATTAACATAAGGGGCTTTGCTTGCATTTGTCATGTTCTATTTCTTGGGAGAAAATATCCTAAGGAAATATAGCCAAGTGGTAAGATTTGACAGTGTTTGATGGTAGATATACAGATGTAGAGGGGTGTGTGTGTGTGTGTGAGACTGTTTAAACTTTTCATATTTGCAACAGTTTGAATAAAAATGCAGCTATCTATCTGGAACAAGTATAGTTTAATTAAGAGACATATATTATATTTACTTATACTGATTGCCTGTCAAATGAACTTAAATTTTAATTAAACGACCATAACATTTGGATAGAAAAAAAGTGAATGGCATATTCACTGGATTGTCCTAGTATTTAATTTTACTTGGGTTTGTTTACATTCAAAGAAACCATTACTTTATTCTGAACAACATTTTAAATTGAAAATAGAAGGAAAAATTGAAATCCTCTGCTGAGAGACTGAATATACAAACTGACAATGGCCAGACCATATATTACACTAGAACTCTGACCCACAACCCTGCTTTGATGGGCCCAGAACAGTCAGGACTTCATCAATGACTGCCAGCTTCCCTATTTTTGCCCCTGCTTCTAACACAGGACTGACCACAGAAAGCCAAATATGCTAAGTAATGGATCACATAGGATATGCTCAGGGCTCACTTCAAGCTTTCCTTTTTTTGTGTTATAAAGTTTTGCCACTTCCTTGCTTGCCTTTGAGTGTCTGCAAAAAGCAAATGATGGTAGCTGCTATAGCCCGAATGTTTGTGTCCCTCCAAAATTCATGTTGAAACCTAACCCCCAATGTGATGTTATGAAAAGGTGTAGACTTTGGGAGGTGATTTGGTCATGGGATTAGTGCCTTTATCGAAGAGACCCGAGAGAGCCACCCAGCCCCTTCCCTCAGGTGAAGACGCAGTTAGAAAGCACCATTATATGAACAAGAAAGTGGGCCCTCAGCAGACACTGAATCTGCTGCTGCCTTGATCTTGGACTCGCCAGTCTCCAGAACTGTTAGAAATAAACTGTTATTTATAAGCTACCTAGTTTATAGAGCATTGTTATAGCAGCCCAAACAGACTAAGACAGTGGCTGGCTCCATTGGTATAGCAAGCTGTGCATACATAGCCTCTGCTTATTCTCATTTGGGTGGTCTTCCTTTATTTCCACACTGCTGGTCTCCACTTACCATGGATTATCAGTAAGATACTACTCAAAGTATGTGAAAAAGGGAATATGATATTAGTTATTCAGTGAAAGTTGCTTTTCAATATAGTCTATTTAAAATTGTTCCAACACAAAGATTGCATCAAGTTTCAGATAAAAATGGAGGATTCACTCATGTGAAAACAGTGCACTTAACACTCAGAGATGGTTTAGCTCTTAGAATTCTGCTTCATCTACAGTCAAAGGGGATGGCTGGGCCCAGCAAAGGAAATGCAAAGAGAAGCCAGGCCTACTGGGGAGCCCTTGTGCACTAGTATATCCTAAGTATCACCAGGTTCATGCAGGACTACGGAAACAGATACTCAGCTAATAAGAAAGTTTATCCACAAAATTCTTCATTAGCTGCTGAAACATTATTTCTTCTACCAAGCAATGCTCCAGAACACAGGTTTCACCAAATATCAGAATGTCTTTAATCCTCTTTCCCCCTTTTACCTTTATCCCATTCTACTTTCTACAACCTACCTTTAAAATTGCTTATCTAGTGATTATGCTCTTTAAAATTAAACCTTAATAACCTCTAATAGATCTGTCCACTTGCCAGCTGATGTTAGTTTTGTTTCCTTACTCCATCACTCCTCTACACTCTGTCTCCTTCCTTCTCCCCAGCTTGCCGACACCCACCATCCCATGTTCCCAAAGGGTTCCACCACTGGGCCCTCTGGGCTGCACTTGTGCAAGGGCTCACCTCCACTCCTCACCACAGCCCTAATCTGGAAAGGGTTTTGTGACCGTGTCTAATGGTGATGTGATTGTAGGGATCGAGGAGGAAGTAGCTATGCTTCTGGAGAAATGGAGCTGCTTGCTCATGAAGCCAGCATGTTAGACAAGATATGTAAACATCTCAGAAGCCTCAGAAGGCATGCCTAGATTTTCAGAGAAGGCAACAGTGGCTGTTTTTAACTCTAACCTCAGCTCAGGAAGAAAAGGTAAAATTATGTTCAATTTCTTGTGTTTAGGAAGACAAGAAAGAGTGTAAAAGAGTTTTAAAAAGACCTCTCTGGAAAATGTTTAAAATAAGAATTTTTTAAAAATCATAAAAAAATTCAGATTCAGTTATCTAGAAAACTCTCTCAGGTGAAAGGAAGAATTGGCTAACACTACTGCACTACCATAATCCACAAGTGAGTATCAATGTTCAGGTGAATATTTGTTACAGTATTGGGGATAACTAAGTTATTTAGTTGGCACTTTTTTTCCTCCTTTGAAGGCAACAACCAAAAGAAAAAAACCCGAAACCCCAGGTAACAAAAGCTCTGAGCTGTTGCTTACGAAGAAGGTCCGTTGGTGATTCCTGTTTCATGAGAGTATACAACTCTTCAAGATTCCCTTTTAGCCAAGTACTGATGCTCTCGATTTTTTCATCCCTTTCGCACAGCTTCTTTATGAGATGTTTTATGTCTTTCAAGATCTCTTCACCATTGCCTACCAAGTCCTGAAAGAAATGGCATTTGCAGGTATATAAATATCAATTGCAACAAAATAAATAAAGACACATTCTGTCTGAGTGGATCATGTCCAAAATAAAAAGTATTATATATACAAAATTGGTATTAGTCATACAAAATAAGTGTTGTATACACAGCCAGTTCACAAAGTTGTATAAAAGATCTCAGAAAAATGAATTATCAAATGAGAAGATTTAATGGACTGCTCACTGAACTTAAATTTTTAACTGGATATGGTAGTGGTGGTGGTAGTATAAAAAGCCAGTTCACTCTCAGAGCAGCACAGAACTGCAGAGGAGATTCAGCTTAAGGGAAAGAATTTTGAATCAGGCAGGATCTGAAGTTTCAAATTCCCCTAAGTTCATTAACTGTTTGGTCTTGGGCAAGTCCCTTAAATTCTCTGAGCCTCAGTAGCTTCATTTGGAAAAGACATTATTAACACTTTCCTTATTGAGTGTTTTTTAAGGGTTACATAAGGATTACATAAACTTTAAATATTACTACACAGAAAGTGGCAGAGCCAGGATTTAGGGTTTAAGCCCCAGCCTGCCTGACTCTGAAGTGGGGAGGGCGTGGAGAAGTTGCATGGCTGGTAAAACATGAAGGCAAACGGAGTTCACAGCTGACAACTTTGTCCTAAAACAAAATATGTTCAGTTTGGGCTTGCAAAAAAAAGGAGTTTTTCCTCATTCTGGGTGGTAGAGTAGGAAGATAGTTTCCCAAAGGATTAAGATTTCATAATGACCTTTGGCACAAAGGACACATTTTAGGATGTGGTGGTCACACAAGCTCTGTCACTTCCCTGCAGTTCTGAACTCCTAACCTTATGTGTGCATGCACACACACACACACAAATACACACACACACTTATTAGGTAGGTGAACATTTTTGGAAATATGATACTTACAGAGGTAACACACAAAAACTTACCTTCATTGTGGCCTTAAATTCAGCCCACAAGTCTTTATAGTGTGCTAAAAGAGATTGAAAAGACAGAACAGTTACTGAAATAATTTCAACATTTTTATAAAAGTAATGTTTTTGTTTTTTCAAAAATTATTTTTATCTAAAAGTTTCTACTTCCAAAATGACAGAATAATTGGATCGGACTTGCCCTCCCAATGCAAACAGGCGGAAAAGAGAGTAAAACAGATGAAACAAATGTTTTCAGAGGCTGGAGAATGGACAGCACAGGACTGTGACACCTGGGACAAGGGAAACAAAGGAGGTGAGCCCTCTGATCCCCTGGTTTTCTGCTGGGGGGCACCTTCCAGACCACAGCACAAGCAGAGCAGATTAGTCTTACCCACAGACACAAAAATATGCACAAAGATTAGCAAATTGAATCCAGAAATAGACAAAAGCAATAAAAACTTTTGAACAAGTGGGCTTTATGCTAGGAATGGGAGATTATTTTAATATTAAAAAATTAATCAGTGTAACTTACCACACTGACGATATAAAGGAGAAACACCATCTGAGGCTTCCAGTAGATGTCTGAGCTGCTAAGGCCAGTCACACAGGCACTGTATGCCTACATGACTGGCACTTCCTGCCCCAGTAGATACCCTGGACGTCCAAACCTGGGTGGGCCTCCCTGGGTTGTCAATTCTCTGCATACATGGTAATAGGTTGTTGCTGGGGAAATTTAGTACATCCCTATGACTCCACTGGGAGAGGACACCTGGAAGCTTGCACCTGATTTCCTCCATACTTTGTCCTATGTGCCTTTTCCTTTTGATGATTTTACTCTGTATCTTTCACTGTAATAACAATAACCATGAGTATAACAACTTCTGAGTCCTACGAATCCTTCTAGCTAATCATTAAGCCTAAGGGTAGTCCTGTGGACACCTGATACTACACTAAAAGCTGCAAAATCTTATTGAGTGAAATTAAAGAAGACCTAAATAAAGGGAGATATATACTGTGTTCTTGAATTGGAAAACTTATAAAAAGTCAATTCTCCCAAAATTGATTTACGGATGCAACACAAACCCAACTGAGATTCCTGCAAGATTTTTGTGTGTGTGTGTGTAGATTAATAAACTGATTCTAAAATATATATGGAAATCAAAGAACTTAGAATAACAAAAATAATTTTAAAAGAAAAGCACAAAGGTGAAAAACTTATATTACCTGATTTCCAGACTGCACATAAAGCTATAGTAATCAAGACAGTGTGGTATTGGTATAAAGTTAGACATTTAAATAAAAGAACAGACTCATAAAATGGATTTTTGAAAAAGTTGCCAGGATAATACAATGGCAAAAGCATAGTCTTTTCAAAAACAAACAGCCACCCCCCCACAATATGGTGCTAGAACAAGATGCATAAGTGAAAACAACGAAATTCAACCCTTACCTCACACCATATGGAAAAGTTCCCTTGAAATGAATCAGAGATCTAGACATAAAAGCTAAAACTAAAAAAGTCATAGAAGGAAATCTTCAAGGTCTTAGGTAGGCAAAAATATCTTTGGCAGGACACAAAAGTACTAACATTAAAAGACAAAATAGATAAAGTGGACTTCATTCAAATGAAAAATTCTTACTCTTTTTGAGACACCATTAAGAAAATGAAACATCAAGCAAAGACTGAAGAAGGGCTCATTCCCAGACTATATAAAGATTTTAACTTAATAATTAGAACACAAACAGAACAAAGAAATGAGCAAAAGTTTTGGACAGACATGTGGCAGATGGTATTTTCCAAAGATGGCTGCACAATGTATTCCATTCCACATGCCTCCCAACATAATGCTGACATTCCCTCTGTTGAGCGGTGGTGTCTATGCCCCTCCCCTTGTACCTGGGTGACTGCCTCAACCATTAGCGTATTGTGGTAGTAATACTCTGACTTCCTAGGCTAGGTCATAAAATGCCATGAACTTTCTCTTCATTCTCTTGGGATGCTTACTTTTGGAACCCAGCAGGCCAGGCAGCTACACAGGGAGGCCATGAGGAGGTGTCCCAGCCAGTGGTCTCCCCTGAGATCCAGCTGAGAACCAGAATCAACTTCAGACACGAGTGAGTGAGTCTCCAGATGATTTCAGTTCCCAGCTGCTGAATTATCCTTGAAGTTGCCCCAGCTGATGCCGTGTGGAGCAGACATTAAGTTGTCTCCACCAAGCTCTAATCAAATTGCCAGTTTATGAGCGAAGTATTAATAAATGATTTGTCTTAAGCCCCTACATTTGTGATATTTGATTAACTGGTTCAAGACACTTCACAAAAGATGATATACAAATGGAAAAAAGATGTGAAAAAATACTCAACAACATCAGTTATCAGGGAAATGCAAATTAAAATCACAATGAAATACTGTTACATACCTGTTAAAATGGCAAAATGTTAACAATTTGAAGGGTTTTGACAATTTTAAGTATTGGTGAGGATGTGGAGCAATGGGAACTCTTCTCCATTGCTAGTGGAATAAGAAATTTGTACAAGCACTTCAGCAAATTTGTTTGGCAGTTTTTCATAAAGTTAATTTTACAACAACCATATAATCCAACAATTCCACTATAAGTATTTACCAAAGAGAAATGAAAACATATCCACAAAAACACTTGTTAACAAATGTTCACAACAGCTTCATTCATAATAACCCAGATCTAGAAACATTCCAAACGTCCTTCAGCTGGTGAATGGATAAACGAAATATGGAATATCCATTCAATGGAATGCTACCATACAGCTATAAAAAGGAGCGAACTAATGATACGTGCGGCAACAGGGAAGGATGAGTCTTAAAAAACCATTTTGCTGAGTGAAAGAAGCCAGGTACAAAAGTGTGCATACGCTATCACTTCATTTATATCTCATTATTAGTGACAGAAAATAGACCAATAGTTTTCAGGAACTGGAGGTGGGGTGTGAGATCAACTGCAAAGGGATTCAAAGGGAATTCTGCAGTGATGAAAATGCTCTATATCTTGTTTGTGATAGGAGTGATTGCAGTGGTACATTTGTTAAAATTCATGGAACTTAAAATGGGTGCATTTTATTGCATGAAGTCAATAAAATGGATTTAAACAAAATAAAAACTTCACATATAAAGAGCACCCATGACACATTACTTACTGTGCTCAGCTATCAGTTGCCACGACAGGTCACCTGAAGAGCGCACAAGGTCTTGTTTTCCTTTTGTGTATTTCTCTGTGGTGTTCTTCATGTATAAAATATACTGAAAATGAAAAGCACATGATTGCTTTTAGTAGTTCAGCCACCGTAGATTAACTATTCATGTAGCCATTCAGCAAACATGTATAACTTCCTCCTCTGTGCCACCCACTGTTGTAGGTACAGGGATAACAGTGTGAATAAAATGTCCTTGTTAAGCTTCTATTCTGGAGAAGGAGATGAAGGATCCTGCTTCCTATTAAGCATTCCAGCATTCCAATAAATATGGCATTTCTGTGGCATTCTACAAAAAGAAATGAGAAGGTGTTCTGCCTAAATGTATCAATGGTGCCCCCTGAGATCCAGCTGAAAGCCAGAATCAACTTCAGACACGTGAATGAGTGAGTCTCCAGATGATTTCAGTTGCAGCTGCCGAATTATCTTCGAAGTTGCCCCAGCTGATGCCGTATGGAGCATGCCATGTGTAAACAATTGTTTACACAACAAAAATATTCCTTACGCAAAATGTGTGTGCAGTGTATGTTATAAAGCAGTGATCCTGTCAGATTGGAGCTTGGCGTTAAGACCTTAGAGAGATAATTTATTGAGTCAGGAGACTCCATGGAACTGCTCACTCAAGTCAGATGTTTCATTGGATTGGGTGACCGTGGTGGTAGCAGTGATAGGTGGCTTTGGGCATTAAAAAGTCATGGCTTTCTGTCCTGACCACCCAGTGTTCAGAAACTCTAAAGTCTTTGGGAACTCTGAAAGTACGGGCTTCAGGGGGCTTCCAGGGGACAGAAACTTTGTGCTGGTCCAGTTTGAAGAAACAAACAGTCTACTCATGTATTTTGATCTTGTGTTATAGTCTTTTCATGGCTTGTTGGCTGGTTTCGTAGTAAACTAAAGTGAAATTCACTTTAAGCCAAGTCCAAGGTATCATTCTTACCCCCGTTTGAATGTGGGTCATCGTAGACTTGCCTAGTTCAGCTGGACTCTCGTGTTTCTCCCAAACTCTCTAACTGTTCTCTTTTAGACTCCTTCTCTTCCACAGCTCACTTCTTCAAAATTCTTTTTCTCCAGGGCTCTGTTCACAGCTCACTGATCTTCTCACTGGAAACACTGTCCCTGAGGAGACCTGTCCATCTCCCAGATGTAAATCCTGCCTCTATACTAATGATATCCTCAGAGACTTCTCCCCGAGTGCCTACTTTGGTGTTGTGAGGTGCCCTTGCTCTGGGCCACTGTATATGCCCTGTCCGAATTGTTGCATACTGAATTATAATGATCCAATTCATACGTGCAACTCTTCACCTACTATGACCTTCCTAAGGGCTGGGACAGTATTTTACTTATCTCTGTAATTCACTATGTTTTGCCCAGTACCTGGGATTCAGTGGGTGTTTAAAAGGAAGGGATACAATCAGCAAAACAGAAAGTGGCGAGTGGTAAGATAACAGCACAGGGTCATCTGGGGACTAGTAGATAAATCCTGAATCCAAAAACAGGACTTTAAGAATCAGTCTTGCACATAGGCATCCATTTTCTCACCCACTTCCAAAATACTAATAAAAATTCTAATTCTTTTTAATAAATAATTGGTATCATCATGATAGGAAGGTAGTCTAGTGGAATTTTTCATGGGGGGGGATGAAATTTCTTACAAGTTTGTTTCAAGGTCTAGAAGAACAGAGACAGTTGCATGTGGGAGGGTTACTGACGACAGTATGTACCTAGGCTCTCTGGAGCACAATTACCGTTTGAAAGTATATTAGTACCTATTATGCCATTTTAATTTACCAAAAAACCACATGAGAGTGGCGAGAAAACTATTGCCTTTTAACAGATGAAAAGAATTACCCAGAGAGGTGAAGGGATTTTCTTCACGGCATTGGACGAGCCAGGGGCAGGGCCACTTCCCCTTACTCACGGTCATTGCCAGAGGACTGACTTTTTATTTTTCTACCTATTGAAAATTCTAAAAAATGTGGAACCCCAATTTCCTCTTCCATAAAAGGGACATAATATATTATCTACTTTATAAGGTTATTGTGAACATCAAATGAGACTGAATCCCTCTAACAATCGAGGCATTGTGCAAAACACTTGGGGTATGCTGATAACAGATCCTTACTACGAGGTAATTTTTGTTTACTGAAAAAATAATTTTTTAAAAAAATTGCGTTTTTTTGACACTTTCAGTTTACAAAGAAGTCACATTCACCCTGTGAGTTAGAAGTTATTCTCCCTTTAAGAGCACAAAATGAATCAAGCGATCTGCCCAAAGTCACACAGTGTGAGTGACAGACTCTGGTCCAGGTCTTTCAAACTAGAGAATATTATTAATATATAAACTTCTGTTAGTATTGTTTTGTCAAAATAAATAAAATACAGAAATCTATGCACTTAAAAATATATTCTTTGAATGCAACAGTTCTGGGCATTAAAAATCAGTGGCATATAAATATCTAATTATTAAACATAACATTTTAAAACATTAGAATGAGTGAATTTTAAGCATAAATAAGAAAAACAACCTTTTGAGATTAAGTTGAGACTTTAATTTTAGGGGATTAATGAACAAATTATTTTGCTATAAAAAGGGCTACAATCAGATGAAATAGACAACCTAATTTTTAAAAATGAGCAAAAGACTGAACAGCCCCTTCTCAAAGGAGGGTAGTCAAGTGGCCAACAACATTTGACGAGGTGCTCCAACAGGCATTAGGAAAATGCAAACCAGCGGGGCACCACTACAAACCCACCACACTGGTTAAATTGGAAAGGACAGTTTTGGTGAGAATGTGGAGTCACTGGTGCTCTCATGCATTGCTGGCGGGAGCGGCAATTGGTGCCACTCCTCCGGGAGACTGGCAGTGTACTAACATGGAAGATGTCATCCCTATGGCTCCGCAATCCCACTTGAGATGTATACCCAACAGAAATATGTATGTGTGTTCATCAACAAATGTGTACTAGAATGTTCATAGCAACACTATTTGTAATAGCTAACTCTTCCAACATCCAATAGTAGAGTATATAAATAAATTGTAGTATAGCCATGCAATGGAATATATATAGAACTAACAAAAATGAACTAACTACATTCAACAATAAGGATGAACCTCACAAACATAATGTTGAGCAAAAGAGTGTATACTATATCATTCTACACATATAATATTCAAAACCATACAAAACTAGTCTATGGTGTTAGAAGTCAGTACGGTGTTATCCTGGTGGGGGTGGTTAGTGACTGGAAGGGACAGAGAGGGTAGCTGGATACTGTTAATGCTTTGTTCCTTGCTCTGGGGTGCTGGTTACACAGATGTGTTCATTGAGCTGTACACTTAAGATTTGGGCATTTTTCTGTATATTCTTTATGCTTCATTAAAATATTTTGAGAACTATTAATATTCCCTTCTTTTCTCTCATTACTATTACAGGTCTAGTCAAATCAATCAAAACCATTGTGCAAAGTGAGGTGTTCTTGAACTTACTTTTTTTAATTTTTTATTTTCTAGACGCAAAAGGTCTACTTTTTGGTCATGTACATAGATTTCATTTTCTAGGTTCTTTAGAATTTCAAAGTGATCTTCGCTTTTTTTGGTTTCTTGGTCTCGTGATTGTTTTAATTCTTGCTTCACTTTCTCCTGCTCAAACATAAAACCCAAACATAAACATAAAACAATAAACATAAAACATAAAACAATTATCTTACAGAGTTAAAAGAGCAGGGCTCCAGAGCATTAGACTGCCCAGATCACATTCAGAGCAGGATTCAAAATTAACTCCTAAAGCACCCAGCTGAGACTGTGGACATCTTTCCTTAGAAAAACCTATCAACTCCAAAGCTAATTTATGAAAATTTATTCACGGACTCTGGGAAGGGGGTTCATGGACCCTAAGTTAAGAACCCAGACACTGAGACACCTTCACAAAATAGAATATACAGTCGACCCTCTGCATCTATGGGTTCCACATCCATAGGTTTGACAAACCACAGATGGAAAATATTCAGAGAAAAACAATAAAAAATAACAATACAACAAAAATAATACAAATAAAAGCCAATATAGTATAACAACTATTTACACTGCATTTACAGTATATTGGATATCATAAGTAATCTAGAGATGATTTAAAGCAATGGTCCCCAACCTTTTTGGCACCAGGGACTGGTTTCATGGAAGACAATTTTTCCATGGGCTGGGGGATGGGGGAATGGTTTCGGGATGATTCAAGCACGTGACATTTATTGTGTAGGCAAACCTCTTTGTCAATGATAATCTGTATTTGTAGCCACTCCCCAGTGCTAGCATCACTACCTCAGGTCCACCTCAGATCATCAGGCATTAGGTTCTCACAAGGAGCTTGCAACCTAGATCCCTTGCATGTGCAGTTTACAGTAGGGTTCGCACTCCTATGAGAATCTAATGACACTACTGATCTGAGAGGAGGAGGAGCTTATGCAGTGATGCGAGCAATGGGGAGTGACTGTAAATACAGGTGAAGCTTCACTTGCTTGGCCGCGGCTCACCTCCTGCTGTGCAGCCCGGGTTCCTAACAGGCCGTGGACCAGTACTGGTCCGTGGTCTGGGGGTTGGAGAACGCAGATTTAAAGAATACAGCAGGATGTGTGTAGGTTATATGCGAATACTATACCATGTTATATAAAGGATTTGAACATCTGTGTATTTTGGTATCCTTGACAATCCTAGAACCAATCTCCCACAGATACTGAGGGACAACTGTAATTCGACATATGAACAACTGTCTGGCAGAAATGGAAAAGGGGGGAATTTGTTGAGGCTTTTAGAGGGCTTAATATTTCTTGAAGGAAGAAGAATATTACATTATTGATTTTTCAGAATTCTCTATTTTCTTTACTGAATTCTCTATTCAGTTCTCAGTTATACTATTATGCAATAACTTGTATAATATTTATTCATTGTATAATTACCAGTGTCTCATTAAGAAAACAGAACTGTGTATATACTATACTTGTAATTTTCTCCTTCATATTTATCCACGCCCATGACATATTAGAAGTTACTTTTTGCTATCATTGCATCTCAAATAGTATGTTTCCATTTTTAGTCAACTCCACATACATATCATTATTAGTTATGAATTCTTTACTTGCTCCTAGTTTGTCCACTCCCCCCACACCTCTGCCTACTCATCCTTAAAAAGCATAATCAAGTCTTTACCCTATAAATAAGAAAACTGAGGTCCCCCCAATGATTTTTCCACCATTACACATTAGTTCCAGTCTCTTTCTCTCTCTTCTTTCTCTCTCT